TATGTGTCATCGTCGTCATCGTCATCCCACGCGACTTGATAAATTTCCTTCTTTCTCTTAATGCTTGGACAGCTGATCTGGAAGTGCCAAAACTTACTTGGTCTCACTATATTAATCTTTTTCATTATACTAATTCTGAGTTTGTGCTTTAGAAGACTGCGAGTTGGGACGTCGGTCACCAAATTGTTGGTTGGAGTTATTGCTAGAGTGTTGCTTCGTTCCTTGGAATTTCTTCTTTCGATTCTTTTCATCTTAATCAAATTTTTTGTTAGAACAAGGTGTGCCTTAGCAATTCCTTCAGCATCAAGAGGCTCGTCATCAGAATCCTCTTCTTCATCACCATGTTTTGGAACAGGGGCCTTCAGTGTCAAGCTTTCTTCTTACGTCGTCAAATATATAAATGATTCCTAACGTACAAAGGTCTTCAAGTAAGTCATAAATACCCGAATTCTTATAAAACTTTCAAGCACACTTATTTTCTCATAAAACCTCTTAGAGCGTGTTCTTATGAGGTTTCGCACTTACCTTATCCCAGAATCTCTCCACTAAGTACTGAACTTTGGTTTATAAGATCATAGAAATGAGCATAGTACTTATCGATGATTTCGTCTTTCTACATACAAATTTCATCCAGCTCGCTTGTGATCCTTTGAAGTTTAGAAAACTTCACAACATTTGTTCCTTTGAATGTGTGCTCGATATTTTTCATGCATCACGTCCCATAGTGCACTGTAGGATCATCATGTGATGCGGCTGATGTAATAGCATAAAAGAGCACGAAAATTTGCTTCTTCCCTGAACTTTTCCTTGCCGGTCCACAATATCGTTTGGATTTTTAACCTTCATATATGTAAAAGCATCGGTGGACGAAGACGTTGTAGACTGTTTCTTTTCGGGGGTGACTTCTCCATCATAGACAAAGCCAAACCAATTTCAACAATCTGTCAAGTCCATTGCTTAAGGACCATAAGAAAATCATCATCATGGATTTCCAGTGCGAGTAGTTGGATCCATCAAGATATGGAGGACGTGAGATTAACATAGCTCCAGTACGAGTAGTTGGATCCATCAAGATATGGAGGACGTGAGATTAACATAGCATCGTGGTTCATAGTTCCTGACCCAAAAAACCTTGGATCTTTATCCTATGATTAGAACCGGAAAAATGATCTCATAACCTTTAAAAATTTGTGGGGGATTATATGGAGTAACGAAAATATGAAATAACACAAATTGAAAGCGAAAGCATCTCTTTATATAAATTAGTCTTCGGGAAGTGCCCCACTAACCCCTTAGAGCTCTTTTATTAGTAAAAATTGATCGCATGCATATGTATATAGTGAGATTATAAGTTAATGACTCACTCTTACTTTTACCACATTATACACGAAACTACTAATTATTTAATTGAACACAACGTGGAATAAAACAACCTTTTGAAATCCCTCCAAGCCGATGATAGTACTCAATCCATATGTACCCAATAGTTACGAGAATAAACTTATTCATCTCTTCGGTGATGTAAAATCCAAAACTAAATTGCTGAATATCTAGCCTATAAGAATATAAAACAACTCTTAGAGACTATCTTGAACAATAAACTCAATACTATTTGTAGTTGCAGCTACTAAGTTTATCGAACACTTTCCAAACTAATTGCGGGGAACAAACCATCCACCTAACAAGAGAAAGTTGGACATAATCAATAACCAAAGCAGTAGTTGGGGCACCATCACCAGCCTAGGCCAATCAAATTAATCCATAGCGGCAGGAAAAAAAAAAGAAAAAAAAAGCTAAAGATGGCGAGGCTAGATCATAAACCTCCCCAAGCGCGAGATCAAGACCTGGAGAAATTACAACCTAAAAAGGATAAAATCTCAGCTCTTGTGTTACAGGCAAGAGCAAAGGGTAGGTCGTCACCTAGGATCCATGCACATCCGTCTGTGGAAGAGGCATTGAAGGTCAACCTACCCTTAAATTTCCACCAGGTTAGCCTGACCGTGGGTAGAGTCATCCAACGAGGCACTTGAGGATCTTTAAGAACACAGTGGTGTTGCATCGTTATAGTGATGCAGTTTTCTGCGGCGTATTCTTTACAACCGTAAAATGGTCGGTGCATGATTGATTTCATCAACTGCCAATATGTTCAATTCGTAATTAATTAGTCAGTTCTCCATCACAAGTAAGCATGAAAATACCTACCTAAACTTAATCAACATGCAACAAAGAGACAAAGAGACTCTCTAGGAGTAAGTAGCTCGTTATACTAAGGAATGTTCAGAGGCACTGAAAATAAATGAGCTTAACATGAAAGAAGGAAGCTGAGATATTCAGATTCAAAAGACATTTGCATTTCATCATGTTTTTGGGAAAATGATCGTACATCAAGAAACAATGTGCTGCTACATTTATATACTAACATCCAAAACCCTACAGATCCTAAAGCAACAGCATTGGATCAAGTGCAACAAATTTGATGGCTAGGATTAACACAAGTGTCCATAAGAGTGTGAAAGGTGTAGGGTCCAGTTGCACCTTTCTTGATTCTCTTTTCTTCTCTGCATGCAGCCATGTTGGATGTGTTGGAGTGGATAAATGGCCATCCACGTGGCTGTTGACTCTGTCAATAGGTTTAACATGCCCCCTCAAATCAAGCGAGGTCAAGGAACCTACAAGTTACTTGTTCCTTAACCGAGAGAAGAGTTGATATCCAAGAGGCTTTGTCATAATGTCTGCTATCTGATCATAAGAAGGAATGTGATTGATAGCCACACTCTTGGCCTCTACTTTTTCCTTACAAAGTGAATATCCAATTCTATATGCTTGGTCCTAGCATGGAGAATGGGGTTAGTAGCAAGATAAATGGCACTTAAATTTTCTATCCAAACTGTTGGAATCCTTGTCGAACTAACCCCCAGCTCACTTAATAGTGCTTGAATCCATGTAATTTCTGCCATATTGTGAGCTAAGCTCTTATACTCAGATTTTGTATTGGACCTAGAAATAGATTTTTGTTTCTTTGCAGCCCATGATATGAAGTTCCCACCTAGATAAACACATGAACCTGTTATGGACTTCCTATCATCTTGGTGCCAAAAGCAAAAAAAGATAACGTTTGCGGACCATATAAAAAAAAATTTCATTAATTTTTAATTGAAAGAAATTTAGCAGTTTTATTAATGAGATTTTTTATAAATTTTATTTAAGTAAAAGACATATGTCATAATTTCAATGGGTGCCATTGTCATGTATGTACGAGGGGTGACTGACGGTAGAATAACCAAAAGTACTGTGATTTCTTTTTTTCGTAATAAAATCCATATTTACAAGAGGCTAACCCATATTACAAGAGACTAACTTGTCGAATGAACTAGGTACACAGTTGAACTCAGATTGGAGGTCACCTAGTGAAAGTCTAAATTCCACAACACAAACACATATTGAACATACATAAAAGAAAAACAAACAACAAAAAATAATAAAAAAAAACTTCCACAAGTGGAGAATATACAATAACGCTTCTAAAGAGAAGAATAAACTATAAAACAACACACCTAAAAAAAATTAAAAACAAAATAAAAATGAAGCTGTAAACAGCAACATAAAATAGAATAGAATAAAGCCCTCTCCTACCACCACCAAACCTTCTGGCACACCACCACAATAGCTAACAACCAAAAGAGACCCCACAAAATACAAACCCTTGGCCCAACCCCAGATCTAGAAACTCCAACATTTCTATGACTAATTAGATTCGAACCATTCGAGCCAAAACCCAATCCAAACAAACCGGCTCGAAACTGTACCAAGAGTCCAACACCGTAAACCCCCTAACACCAAATTGGCAGCGGCAGACAACGACCGCCCCGTCTATCGGACCAAACCTTCCCAGCACTAGGGCGAAGACAAGATCCAGGCAAGTAGAACAACAACGGCCTCAGATCCATCCTCCACAAAAGCAGTGGATGGTGTCGGGTGGTAGTGAATCTTCCGCCCGGTTGTTCGAACCCCACCAAGAATCCGCATGGCCACCAGGAAATAGGGAGAAGCGTCATGCTAAAAACAAGGAGAAGACCGGATGAAGAGCTTGTCGAACACCCCGGTGTCGGGTTAACTCAGCTGCCCTGAATGAGAGGTCAGCTGAAAGGAGGCTAGGCCAACCCAAAAGGAGTTTCTGCACCATTTTTGCTTGAACTGCAATCATGTTTTCATTGCCTATATTCTTTCGGATTTACTTAATTGATTTTTCAGTTTCTGGGTTTTCTTAAAAAAAAAAAAAAGGAAAAAACCTTCCTTTGGTCTGGGAATTTGGCTGAAAAGGTTAATAGGGATTCTTTTTCTTTTTTTTTTTTTTCGAAGGTTAATAGGAAATCAAAATAGAACTTTTTTTTACACTACAATGAACAGAAAACAGAAATTTAATCAAAATAGAACTTTTTTTTACACTACAATGAACAGAAAACAGAAATTTTCCAAATAAAAAAAAAAAAGCTGAAAGATTTTTTGTTTTTTTTAATAAATTAAACTGAAACTATTTTTCGCACTACAATGAATAGAAAAGAGAAATTTTAGAGGAAAAAAAAACTGATTCATCTTTTGGGATAGCCATATTTATGGATTGACAACAGGCAATCCCTAAATATTTAGGTACAAAACCGATATCAAATAAAGATCAGAATAAATTTACAGGTACAAAAATTTTCACAGGTGAACTCTTAAATCAAATATCAATCTATTATCAGGTCGATTTTCCAGAATTACAAAGAATAAACTTAATAACATAACAAATACAAATTATAGACTTGATTCTTGCCCCTGATCTCTTGGGGCTGTAAACAAAACCTCAGCCTGCAATGACTAACAATGAATCGAAAAAACACCTACGCAAAACACAATTACTAGGTACATTTACCCACGCGTCCAATGATCAAAGTCAACAGAATACTCTGTTCATTTTTTCTTCGCCCATTTTTTCAGCAATCTGTGATAAAAATATATACCTACGAGGTGCCAAAGCCCAGGTGATCCCACACAAATGGAGAGCACAAGTTGCTGTTCCGTAGGAACGGATGTCCTCTCAGGAAAACACATACGCACACACACACAGCAGCAATTATGAGCACCGGGCTGAGGTAGGGCCTCTGCAGAAGCCCGTTTGAGCTCGGGAATCTTTTACCATATGCGCACGCGGCTGCAGCCGCACATCTCAAGCAAGGGCCTCCCGATTCCGGGCTGTGGCTGACGACAGCAAAATTGCTGCTGGAACCGGGCCCCACCTCGATAGGCTTGATCTCGTCCGTGATTAATACAGAGATCTGACCGTTTTTGACCTCAGCAAGCTTACGGGCGACAAGGTCGTTGTAAGAGTGGTTGTTTCTCATTGACGCGTATGCGTAAGGGGAGAGCCCGTTTGCATCTAGAACCGAGTTCCAACTGTGCAAACCAATCTACAGTGATAGAAAATCCAGTAAGAAATCATAGCCCATTAAAAAAAAATAAAAATGCACGACAGCCCCTGCCTCACAATTCACTTTATGGAATTTGCTGAAGTCGTCCAATATCTCATAATTGCATCTATCTACTATGAAAATATAACGATTTTTTCATCTGGTTAATAGCAATAATTGGAAAATTTATGAAACGTAAATGAGAAATGCAAGATAAAGACATGTTACTGATATTTGTAAATATTGAGAAATGCATTGTAAGACAAATAATGTCAATATCTGCAAAATGTTTCTAGTAAGTTTTGAAGTTAGCCGTTCTGCTATTGTTTTTGTTGTTGTTATTTTTTTATTATTGTTATTATTGTTATTATTGTTACTACTATTATTTTTTCGGACAAACACATCAAGGATAGTTATGTAACTACCTAAATCCTAAATACATTAGTGACTGAACAAAGGAAGCATACCGCCTGTGGATCATTTGTCAGAGCATCAACAATGGCAGCCGAAGATGACATACAGGCAGCCAAATGCAAAGGCGTGAGATCACTGGGACCTGCCAGATTCGGGGGGTATATATATTTCCGAGTTGAGCCATCAGAATCGACAACATAGTAATTAACCAGCAACTCAACCATGGCTCCACACCTCTTCCGGACGGCCCGATTCAACAAATGAATCTCGGATAGCATCGCGAAAGATTCCATCGCTAATGTTAATCCTTTTGCGCCCAAATTCAGTTCTACCAAAATGTCGAGTAAGGTTTTGACCAGCGCACAGAAGTCATGCTCGACAGAGAATACGAGAAGGTATTTGAAACGATAGAGCCTGTAACATGGGAAGCGGAAAAAGGAAGAGGTGCTCTTTCTCTGAAACAGCCACCCAAGTTCATCCAAGAAATGCAGGACTTCTTGCCTGGACCAGAGTCTCCCTGAATCGTGAACAGAATTGTGGGTCCCACAAACTTCAGCAGATGTGCCATTGATCTCAGGCTCCAGGAGCTTCAGTTCTTGACATATTGGGTTATCTGCTATAATTACCGGGAAAGTAGTGCTCCTACAACTGTTCTCTACCTGTTGACAATAAGAGGATTCAAATATCCATTTTCAATACAACTGTTTTCAGTTTTTCTTTTTATTTTTTGTTTTTTAAATTTTTTAATCCCATTTGATAGTTTGGTGGAGGGATACCTCAATGAAACAGCGACCAAGCTGGTTAGATGCAGCCCCACAAATCTTAAACCGACCTAATCTAATCTCATCTTGTCCAGTGGCTTGGCACCATGCAGCAACTTTTTCTATGCTGTATCCACTGGAATGCGTGCAATGTATCCTGCAATTATTTAAAATATAATAATGAAAACAAAAACCTGATTAAAAACAGACTAATGCATTTATAATATATGAACGACATACGTAGTGCCTGGTGTGGTCAAACTTATCCCCTTCAATAAAAGAGATGTCTCTTGACCGGCTACAACTGCCACAGGGGACACAGAGATCAACTCTGGAGTAGTCCAGGCTTTCCAGGATTTACAAAGACGAGTCTTTCCTGAAGAGTTTAATGTGAACAAGAACATAAGTAGGTGGACCAGAATAAAGAATTCAAAATGCCCACCCAAATAAGTACAACAAGCTGCAAATCTGCAAACCATACCATCTTTATGGGATGCCATTTTTCTTTTTGTGCAAACCAAAAATCTTCCATTTCCCCAAAAACCAACATCAGCATCTTTGACTAAAGATTCCACATAATTAAGAAAGTTTTCTTCAAGCTGCAAAAACAGTTCAGCCAAAAAAAAGATGGTCAACCAAAAGCCATTTAACCCAATGAGCATTGACTATACAATAAAAATGCACACACTTGATTCCAGGCAAAAGATGACATTGACAAGTACACGGATAGAACTATGCAACCGGGTCTGATGTAGCTTTCCATTTCTGATGGGCTGGTAGAAAGCCAATTGTATATCTGAAATTCAGCGCAACATTCGCCATCAGGTTTCAGCCATAGGGGAAATGAATAAAATCGAGAAAATCAAGTATGGTAAAGAAACCAAAACTAACCTGATTCCGTAGCGATCCAGGCAACTGACTTGGCTCCTTGTCAAACAATTTGAAAATTATCCGACCAGTACGATCCTATGAGAAACAGCATGTCAAATACTCTCAATATATTGATTCAGAAACCAGTATACAAAATATACAAAGGCATGACAAAAACTGAAAAGCATTTAAGCTAAATTGAATATGTGATGATTGCTTAAACTACCGTCAAGATTTAAAAGTATTTATAAAAGAAATATAAGGGAACTTTGAAATTAAAAGAAAAATACAACCCATACATCAAATTTGACTATCCTGTACTTTGCCCCATAACTGGACTTGCTGACATCATCTTTAGTATATTGGATGACATCAGCAATTTCCACACATTCCATATAGGCTGGTGCGAAATTAGGGCTGCAAACGAAACAAACTGCTCGTTAGCCGCTCGCAAGCGCTTGAGTCAAAGCTCGAATCAAGCTCGAGTTTGACTGAACTCGAGTCGAGCTCGAGCGGCTCGAGCACGAACTCGAGTCGAGAAGTAGCAGCTCGAGCACGAACTCAAGTCGAGCTCGAGCCCATATTTTGCATTGTCGAGCGGCTCGAGCCCATATAGGCTTGTTGTTGTTGTTGTTGTTGTAGGTGTTTAATGGTAATTTTATTTTTCCACTTAATAATTTTCGAGCCCAGCTCGAGCATTTTGATTTCGAGTCGAGCTCTTAAACAGATATTTTGTAATTTTACCAAACTTTAGTAGTCTTCAGAGCTAACACCAAAAATTTAATAAGGATAGTGGTTAAGAAATACCTGAGAATCAGAATTCAGGCTAGACGGAGAATGGTCAGATCCAGTAGACGATGTGTAACCAACTCCACATGGAGAACTTGGAATCGAACCATTCTCATTAACTTGGATTAAGCCTCCTCCAAAGAGCTGAAGAGACGTACTACACCCATTGCTTGTTCTTGATTTCACACACACAAGCTCGTCGTCACTGTTTGACAAACGAGCATTCACTGTTTCTCTCGAAGGCTGCATGGGGAACAGATTATGCATGAGTGGAGGTGAAGAAGACACAGGTGACCTTTCTTCAGAAGGATTACTGCTGTTGGACGAGATATAATTTCCACCCGATGGCAGTTTACTTGAGCTATTATCCTCGGGTGAGGAACTAAACAGCTGTAACTGTAGGCTGGGAGATGTGTCTCTAACATTGTGACCATCTATTTCGCCTGTTGGAGAATCGAGATGCATAATTCTCTCTCCTCTGGACAGGTTTACTGGGTCAACAAAAGCTGACCTGCTTTTCTCGGAGTCACTATCCTCAGAGCTCGGTTGAGATTGAGTTTCTGACGAAAGAGTAGCTAGCAAATCCATGGTTGATGGACGAGAAGCCTCCCCAGTTGTTTGGTTCTGATTTTTAGGGCTTGTGTGATTAGGGACACTTAAACTTGTGGTTTTTGGGAGGGGCAGCTTGGATGTTAAGTTTGTGGGTAAGGGCAGAGAGTTTATTTTGCTGAGAATTTGAAGCAAGTGTTCTTTTTCAGGTGCTGATGAGGATTTACCACTATTGTCCCCAGTGTTTCCTACAATTACAATATTAAATTTAGCAGAACTAACATGTGATTTGAAAATTCTGGTATATTCTGATATTAATTGAATTATACTTCACGGCCAACACAAGGGGAAGAACCAATTTAAACTGGATAAATATTTGGCTATTTCATAGAGGCATTATTAATTGCTGATGCTAAACTTTATATTACTAGCTGACTTTATACCTTGTGCATGAGCTAGCACTGTCAATAAATTGATGACATTCACATCACAGTTGATATTTCTTTGTGGACTACTAGGAACTAACACCCGTGAGGTAGTCTCTTCGGCCTGAGTTTTTCTCCTCCTCCTGTTATGCCCAGCAAGCCTTCGCCTACAGCTTCTCTTTCCCTCATCAAATTCTGTAAGCGGGTGGAACCTGAAAAGATGGAATGGCAATTATGACTCGATTGGCTCGACATATGCAGAACCAAAGAATTCGGATTTTGTTAGGACAAACTCCTATACTGCAACTAACTGTATATGAGATTAAAAAAAAAAAAAAAAAAGAGTGTAAAACGACAAGGAGTTTTTTAACAAAATTAATAAACTCCTCTTCTACAGGAACTTATATATTGTAATAGAAGTACAAAGTGGTAGAAAATCAGAAGTTAAAAGCTGAACGACTCAAAAGTGTGTTTTTCAATAAGTAATAAAAGAGCTTTTTTGTTTCTGGAAACACAGCTACTCTTTCTTTTTTCTTTCTTTTTCCATCTAAGAGTTGACAAATCTAGTAAAGGTGTTTCATTTACGACACCAACCTGCTGCACTGCTGACAAAACCTCTGCATATGCTTCCCGACCAAAGCCTTACTAGCCTTGCTGTGAATCTCACATACCTTATGCCGTCTGTGATAGTCCTTTGCCGTGGAAAGGTCTTCCTCACAGTCATCCACCTGGCACATTGGATGGTTAACACCGCCGGGCGACCCGGACCTCACTCTCTTGTTTGGCCTCGGAACCTGCTGTGGTGATTCTTCCACTAAATTCAAGCCGCAATCACCAAGGTTAAGCCGCAAATTTTCAGCATCTTTTTCTGTATGGCCAGGCCTCATGGGATTTCCCACTTGGGCTTCATCGGTTTGCACAGGTTTAGCAACAAACCTTGCACTGTCCCATTCCCATGACTTTGGATTCCAGTTATCCGGAGAAGGGTTCTGATGAGAAATGCTCGGGGAATGAAAATTGAAACCACGTTTCTTGACCATTGGATGAGTTGGGTTACAAAATCTTTGCGGAAGTGTTTGGTGGATGGCTACAGGAGATGCCACCCGGGTACCTACCTCTTCCATGTCAACAGGAATAAATAAAAATATTTTGTAGACCCTGAAAACTGAAACACACCTTCATCAATGAAAATCAGATCCCCAAGCAATTCAAAATGTAAATTGTATTGCTCAACACACTTTCTGCAGTAAAAATAATCCCAAAAGAACAGGAAAGACCAAAAACGAAAGCAAGAACTTAAAACCAAATAAAAAGTAGAAAGAGAAAAACTTTTTTTAGAAGCAAATTTTTTAATTACAGCTTATTTATAACACCGGTAGGCAGAGGGTTTGGATTTCAAGATCCATTTCTTTCTCCATTTACTCTGAAAGTGATGCCAAAAGATGGCAATCGAAATGATGGATGACAAAATTAACTGGATCAAACACTTCATCCCTATGACTATGTATTCGTATATCCCTCTCATATATCCAATCTCATTTAACAAGTTACAGAATAGAGACAACATGTACACCTGGGGGAAGGGAAATAAACTGACTAGCACTGAACTTGACTGTACTCAATCATGTCTTATCTAATCTAACTTTTCCATTTTCCCCTCCCACAAAATATAAGTGCTAATGCACACATCAAAATTTAGGAGCGTTTTATAGGCGATTCGCAAAGTATTAATGTATAAATAAAACAGGCATCCCATGTTCAATGAATTTTCAGAAAAGAAGAACACAACGTTAACAAGCGAAGCAGGAGTCTAATAAAAATATTAACCATGACAATTACAATCCACTATTTTGGACTGGAGCAAATTTTTTGGTCTCGTTCGGGTGGAGAATTCTTACCGATTTTCCCAACAACACATCCGTAGAGAATTTTTCCCATGTTTTTACATGGTTGACGATTTATAAAAGCAATTCCAAGAATTCCGCCAAAATAAAGTATCATATTACAGTAAAATTACACCCCACTCATCCCCAATTCTAGCTCAGGTAGCATCAAAACTCAAAACGAGAACTATAAGTACTCCCTTTAAAGCTTTCATCTTTTTACACCTTTACAATTAAAGATACAGCGAACAAATTTCAGCTTGAGAGGGCTAATGATTACAAAATCATCAGAGGTCAACACATAATGAACTACCAAAAATATTGAAAAAAGGGGAAAAAAAAAAAAAAAACTCGAAGAAATGAAAGAGGGCACCTTTTAGGGTCAATAGAATTCATCTGGAACGCGATCGATTTTGGTGTCTCTCATCTTCACAAGTCGATTAAACAAAAAATCGAGCTTCAAATTAATTTTTCCCCATATTATCCAACGAAAAGTCTTCGTGTTCTTGGTAGATGTGCAGAGATAATGAGTATATATCTTCAGTTTAGAGGGTTTTTAAGTTGATTTCTGGTGGGTTTCTGATGGTGAAATGTGAAAGGAGCGAGTAAATCTGGAAAAAACGGAAGAGAGTAAGATGGGGATGATGATGGATCTGTGGTGCGCCAAAACATTACAAACAGTTAATTAATTGATAAGTAAATGGGATAGGAATTGAAATGAAAATGTAAATGCACTAAATGCACAAAAACCTCTCGCTGTTTAAAGTTTTATAACACAACTATCTTTTACTTTTCTCACCGTATTTATTTATAATATAGTAAAGTAATACATCATAGTATTTTGAAGTAGTTAGCCCCAATGGAATGGGATACAGGTTCAATTGAGGGTCGGTCGTGTGAAAGGTAGTGGTGGTGGTGGCGGTTATGCTTGATAGAGAAATCGGAAGTTGTAGAAGACTGTATACAGCTTTCTACTTATATTCTCTGGTGGTTGTGGCGGCCATGGAATTTGTGAATCTTTGAAAAGTGTGGATGTCGGAGGAAATCATGGTGCGAGGGGCTTGAAGAGATTGGCAAGAGTTTGCAACTTTGAAGGCTTAATGACATTGTTTTAGTTCATTGTTGTTTGAGTTTGTTTTGTTTGAGGTGCGTTTTTGTTTGTTGTAGTTTGTGTTGTGTAGTTGTTTCTTGTTTAAGCGGCTAAAGGTTCAGGAGGTTGCATCCCCGCCTTTAGCCTTGTAGTTTGTTTGTTTGGTCTCTAGACCACTCTTGGAGTGACTCTCCCATGGTTTGGTTGTGTCTTCTTATAAGCTTGTTCAAAGTTTATGTTCAGTTATATATTAATTTTCGATGGAGAAAAAAAAATCCAAAGTGGTCTGCCTGTCCACTCGGGACCGCTTTGGATGGGTTGATTCATA